TGCGATTTTTAAAGACTTCTGGCCCTTTTTTTGTCAAATTTGAAGTCAGATCTGAAGTCCGAACAAAATTTTGGCCGAGAGCAGCTTGGATACAGTATCCGGACAAAATTTTTGAACCCTGGGTGGCCAAAAGTCCGGACAAAATTTTCAACATGGCTAATTTTGGGATCTAACCTCCAAAGCCATAATCATGGGTCCTGGTGATGAGCGACGTGGCAAGGTCACGTGCGGTTACCGCGGGTAAAACCGCTCTGGGTGGCGGTATGCGCGGTACCTGCCGGATCGGGACCCGTACCACCCGCACCCGTAACACCGCGGGTTTACCCGTACCCATGTCACACACTACAAACAGCTCTAATAAAATGTACACAGTATAATGCTTTAGTAATTGACTGATTGTGCCAGCAAAATTGCTGTGGACATCGTTGACATGGACTGATAAATATACTATTTAAATGTATTTTAAAAAGATTGCCCAGATCGGGATTCGAACCCTCCCTAAGTTAGTTTCATAAGCCCACCAACAGCCGCGCATAAGCCGCGCATAAGCCACCGTGGCATATGGATTCATATGCCACGGGGTATGCCCCCTGTGACATCCGTTCCGGTCTCTATCTCAGTAAAAAGTAAACTTTATCTAGGTTTCGACAAATATTTCCAAAATCTTCATCTGAAGTCGGCTTGCGAGCCTTTTTTATACGCTCGTGCAACCAGACAACAATGACTTCTATTTCCCGCAAATAATGCTGGCGGCCCCTGACATTGCCACCGGTCAATTCATTCCTCACCCCAGACAAGACCCCCTCCCGCGCGAGTTCGGCGGCGCGTGTCCGTGCAAGGGCAGATGCTACAAGTCATTGTTCCCAACAATGAGGCACGCCGAGGAAGTAGGCAGCAGACTATACAATGCATTGCTGAGTGCTGAACGTTGACTTACCCCAAAGCTCTCGATCCAGTATTCGACGCCAGGATAGCGCAGCTCAAATCTCCCTACGTACGACTCACTCTCATCCCCAACCCAACCCGAATGCAAAACAACGCAGACGCAGCATCCATTTCAGCAGCACCAATTGCACCACTTCCAAAAGAATAATGCAATATAAGCTACTATGCAGACCAATGTGTGTATGTATGTAGTGTATGTATATACGCGCGCGGACAAGACAGACAGCATTTAGGCAAGGGGGGATACGTAGGGTAGGCGGGGTATGTGGGCGGTCGGGCTGCAAGCCATTTTATGCGGTGAGGTGTATCCAGCATGCGGCGGTGGTGGTGGAGTGGATGTACGCGGGGCAGGGATCGCGGCGCTGACAGGGGGGTCGCGTCGTCGTTGTCAATATATGGAGGGAGCGCGTCGTTATCAATATCAATGTACGGGAGTGCGATATCGCAATCGCATGCATTCACAAGCAGGGGGAGGTGCCGCGAGGCAGAGTAAGGACGGGGGGACAGCGGATTTTGGGCAGGATAACGAACGTGGAGCGTCGGACGTGCGCACGGTACGCGCGTTTTGGTGCCAGGGAAGTGCGAGGACGGTGCGAGGAAAGCGTGGCGCGAGGAGCAAGGAGGGTGCGAGGAGCAGGGGTCCTAAACAGACACCCCGCTCCCGCCGCTGATCGACGTCACGCCCTTGAGCACGTCCACCAGCGCGCCGAACGTCGGACGCAGCTTCCTCCCTCCCGTGGACGACGTCGACGGCGAACGCAGCCGCGCGAACGACGACGCACGCCGCAGGCTCGGCGGCGGCGGCGGCGGCGCAGCTGTGAACGAGGATGGGGGCGGAGAGCGGGGCGAGGACGACGATGCGGAGCGCGCAGACGCCGCGTGGGATGGCGATGACACCGCCGGCGCGGGCGCGGACGCCACGCGAAGGTGCGATGATGATGACGACCCTGCACTGGCCTGCGGATTCGGAGCGGCAGAGGCGGGGAACACCCCGCCGCGCGCGGGCAGCGCGGGGGAGTACGGCCCCGCGGCGAGGACGGACGCGGCGAGGCGCGGGAGGACGGGGAGCGGCTTCTCCTGATCACCCTTATCCCCCGCGTCCTGCTGCCCGTCCGTGCACGCCTCCTCCTCGAGCACCAGGACCTGCTCCCCGGGCGGCATCAGCAGCCCGCGCTTGCACCTATCCGTTCCGCGCTCCCGCTCGCGCTCGCGCTGGCGCGCCGCCATCGACCCCAGCGCAACACACACCGCCTCCGAGCGGCTGCGCTCCCGCTCCCGCTCCTTTTCCTTCTCCCTGCACTCTCGTTCCCGCTCCCCATCCAGGCGCGGCGACCCGTCCGACAAAATGCGTGGCGACCCATCCAGCTTGGGGCTCGCGCGGTGCGCGCCGAGGTCGAGCTGCGACTCGCTCCCCGCGGGGCTCGGCTGCGGCGTCGCGCTCGGGTGCGGGCTCGAGCGCGGCGTCGAGCCGCGCGACGGCAGCGGGAAGAGCTCCGCGTCGTCGTCGTCGTCCGGCGGGCAGTTGTACGTGCGGTGGGTGTGGGAATGCGACGGCGTGGTCTTGATGGGCGACGGTGTGCGCACGCTGCCCGCCCTTGAAAGGCGCGCGACGCCGTCGAGCAGCTCTTCGCTCTCCGCTCCATCCGCCTCGTCCGGGTCTCCCTCCGCGTCTTCATCGCACTCCCCGTTCCCGTCCTCGCACTCCCCCTCGTCCTGTTCCTCCGGACACCTAGCGGCCACGGCCGTACGCAGCGCGCTGATCGCCCCGAGGTCCAAGCTCCGCCTCCTTCGCTCGCGCTCGACCTCGTCCACCTCAAGCGCCGCAGGGCGCGGCGACGGCGTGCGCCGCGCCTCGAGCTCCGCGACGAGCCGGTTCACCTCGCGCAGACCCGTGCCCGAGAGCAGGCCGCCACCCGCGCCAGGGGAGTACGCCGAGCCGAACAGCGTGCCAGGCAACAACGGCGAGCTCTCCGCACGCCGCCGCACGCGCTGCGCGCCGCGGGAGAAGCACTCCTCCGCGCCCCACGCATCCGCGCGCGGGCCGCACTCGGGACAGCATGCGCGGAGGGGGACGGTCTTGGTGGGGGCGGGCGAGGGTTTGGAGATGGTGGAGGGGGATTTGGAGGAGATAGATGGGGATCGCTTGGCGGAGGCGGGGGCGGGGCGGCGGAGAACCTGGAAGTCGATGTGGCGTTAGCATGTTTTGTAATGAGGGGATAAATGGGCGTACGCAGGGGCGAGCGTGGACGTCGACGCGAGGGCGAGTGCGTCGACGCGAGGGGCGCGAAGGACGTCGCAGAAGAGGGGAACGTGGAGGTGTATGGGGAGGGCGCGGGGTTGGGGGATCTTGAGATGGACGCGGCGGAGGAGGCGGAGGCGTGCACGCGCAGACACGGGAGGGGCATGTGTGGCGGCGGGGGCGATCGCGACCGCGACTTGGACTTGGAGGAGCCGAATTTGGAGCTGGGTAGGGAAAGGCGTCAGCAAAGGAACGGGGAAAGAGGGAGAGCGGAGGATGAGAGTATGAGAACGAAAAGGGAAAGGGAAAGGGAAAGGGAAAGGGAAAGGAGACACTAGAAATAGAATGGAAAAGATGCCGCGAAACACGCATTGGAACATTCTATGCACACAAGGGCCCGCCAGCGGCGGCGCGACAAGGAAACGAAGGAAAAGCGACGGAACGCCAAAAAAAGAAAGAAAGAAAGAAAGAAACCAAAAAAAGGAGGACTGTTCCACTCGACGGGGCACGCGCCAGGGAAAGAAAGCAGGGGAGATGGATGAGGGACTGTGTGGGCTGAGGGAGGAGAGAGCGGCGAGAGGGCGGAGCAAGAAGAAAGAGATGAAGATGGCGGAACGAGAAGAAGAGATGGCAAGTTGAAATGAGGGCGGTGGGAAGGACAGGGAAGAGGCAAGAGGTTCGGTGAGGTAAGGAGCAGAGGATTTACGGCGCCGCCCCGCCGATCAATCGAATAGAAAAAGAAATTATATAAAAACGAGAGAAAAAAAAGGCGACAGAAAGGGGCGGAAAGTCGGGCGTTGCGATCGTACGAGGGCTGGAGACAAGGTCCGAGATGAAAAAAGCGTGCTTCGAAGGCATAGCAGCGGCGTTATCGTACGTCGCGGACGTCGCAGTGGTTAGCCTCCCTAGGACATAGAAAGGCGCCGCAGCGCTGGGACACACAAGAAAGTATGCAGGCGCAGATCGCACCACCCCGGAAAGCAGTGCTTGCTGGCAATAACTATCCCCATGGGGAAGATAAGATGGCACCACTTGGTGACGGTCTCCTGCACGCGCGACGGCTGAGGACCCCGGGGGTGTGGGCGAAGGCAGGAGTAGGAGTAGAGCAGAAGCAAGTAGGAGTAAGAGTAAAAGTGGGAAGACAAGCAGGTGAAGTGGGAGTGGAGCCACCGACCTGTTGCGCTCGTCGTCGCGGTCGCGGGCGCGGCGCCAGAGGGGCAGCGAGTAGCTCTTCGAGAGCATGCGCGGGCGCTTGGGCTGCGGCACGTCTGGGATGAGCACGCACTCGCTGTCGAAGCGCACACGGTGCATCAGGGGCGCCGCGAGCGACAGCGTCGTGCTCGTGCTCGTCGTTGTGCTGGTGGTCGTCGTCGCCGTCATGGTGGGGGACATCGCTGCGGCGCGCAGAAGAAGAGGGATGAAGGGAGGGAGGAGAAGGAGAAGGAGGGGGAGATGAAGGAAGGAAGAAGTTGCGGACAGGGATGGAGATGGTGCATGGTGCGATTTACGTCACGCGCTTGCCTTTTTGGGTGCCCTCACCGCGTGCCCAGACTCGCCCTGTTGTGCCTGGCGTGCTGCAAGGCCGTCACCACTACAAGTTCAACATTCAACTGGATTCCCTGCAAAAGGCCGCGAGCAGCAGCTGGAAATATATAAACTCCGCACTAACGCCAGGCGCTTACTCACAGCAACGGCGTTGATCACCATGGTCCGATGTCGGATACACCATCATGGCACGGTGTGCACTGACCTTGGCTCTGACACTTATGTACGACGAAGCGACCGGGTAAGGTCCAGAGCCTTCTCGACTATGCAAGGTTTGGTGGTGCATTGGTGCGCGTCTGCATCCCGCAAATTTAACGTACAGCAGAATCAGCTCGTTCGACTCGAGCCCAGGCCATTCCATGGTTTAATGCAGTTTTTTTGTGTGCCCCTCTTCCAAGTGCACACTTCTACTGAAGGTCAGCGCTTCAGCTCGCAAGTTACTAAGGCTTGGTGATGCAGTGGTGCGCATCCGCTTCACCCATCTGTATGTACTGTACTATTTCGACCAAATGTTCAGGTGACGGTGACACCCGATTTTTTTTGATGTGCCTAAAAATCGCTACAACTCAGAAGAAAATTTATCGGTCACCTCGGTCGACGAAAATCTAAAAATAATGAACATTTGGTCGAAATAGTACAGTATAAGATATGATCACAGCGGAGTGTGCTTGTTCGACTCGGGCCCAGGCCACTCAGCCTTGATAGATTGGAATCTTTTTGTGTGTTGCTCTTCCAAGTTTCGCATGACCTACTGAGGATAATCCATGAACTCTACTAACTCTGAAGATCTGAAGGCTTGGTGGCGTATCGGCGCGTTTGACTGGTCTCAAATTTAACGTACACTCGTTCAACTCGAGCCCAAGCCATTCCAGGACTTTATTCAACTTTTTTGTGTGCCGCTCTTCCAAGCTTACAGATCTACCAAACCTCAACGCGAGGCCTGTAATTTTGAGGCCTGGCGGTGCTGTGGTGTGCAGCCTCGCTATCCAGCCCATTCAATCTTCAGTGCTTGGAATATTTTTTGTGTGTTGCTCTTCCAGGTTTGCATGACCTACTGAAGCTGATCCATGAATTCTACATCTGATATTTTGAAGATCTAAAGTGGTGGCGCATCCGCGCGCATCTTCATCTAATGCATAAAACGCAGCTCGTTCGACTCGAGCCCAAGCCCTGGTTACGAAAGTTCTCCTTTTTTTAAATGTCCTCATCTAACGATTATCCTCAGGTTTACCGAATTTATGTATAGGTCATTCAAGGCTTGGTAGTGTGGCGGTGCGCATCTGTTCCATTTCTGACAGGTTACAGCTAGCAGACGATGCTCGTTCGACTCGAACCCAAGCCATCCAATTCTTCTCCCGATTTTTTCCCCCTTGCATCCCTCTTCTCATAATTCAGCGGATTCACCAGACTGCCTCTCATGGTTCGAGGGAGGCTTTGTAACCCGGCGGTACGATTGATAGAATCTGACGGATGCATTTCAACAGCAGACACACCTCGTCCGACTCGAGCCCAAGCCCCGCCTCCTACTCTTATCCTCCTCTGTACTGAGATCGTTCCTAGAGTTGTTCAAGCTTTCAAGGCTTGGTAGTGCATCGGTGCGCATCTACATGCACACATTGACTGGTACAGCAGAATCAGCTCGTTCAACTCGAGCCCAGGCCATTCCAAGATTTTATGCAACTTTTTTTTTGTGTGCCGCTCATCCCAGTTTGCATGATCTGCCGAACGTCAAAGCAAGGCTTGGGATTTTCGAGGCCTGGCGGCGCAGTGGTGCGCAGCCGATTTACCTGTCGCTATGTATCCGTTTATATTAGCTGTGATCATAGCGGAGTGTGCTCGTTCGACTCGGGCCCGGCCATTCATTCTTCAATGCTTCGAATCTTTTTTGGGTGTTGCTCTTCCAAGTTGGGATGACCTACTTGAGATGAGTTCTTGTTTTGAAGATCTGAAGGCCTTAAGGCTTGGTAGTGCATCGATGTGCGTCGGCATCCAATGCATAACAGCTGGAAAGCAGCTCGTTCGACCCGAGCCTAAGCCATCCCATGTTTGTGGAATTTCTCCTCTTTATGTCCTCCTCTCACGACTATAGTGACCTTTACAGAAATTATGACTGGGTCAAAGGCTTGGTAGCGTGGCGGTGCGCATCTGCATGGTTGAACAGCCTGTGGAGACAATCACAGCGCTCGTTCGACTCGGGTCCAAGCCATTCATGTTCAAATATTCCAATTTTTTCTTTGCGTCCCTCTTCTAATAATTCAGGACAATCAACGACGGACTGGTTTTAGCTTCTGAAGGCTTGGTGGCGTGGTGGTGCGCATCTGCTTCATTTCTGACAGGCTTGAAGTTATAGCAGACGATGCTCGTTCGACTCGAGCCCAACCCATCCGCTGTTCTCCAGAATTTTTTCTTTGCAACCCTCTTCTCATAATTCAATCAACTCATAGACTGAACTCCCAGGATTAGGGAGGCTTGGTAGCGCATCGGTGCGCATCTGCATTCTTTGATGAGAGAAAACGCAATCAAAAAGGCAGAAGCAGTTGTACTCGAGCCTAGGACCTGGTCCCGGAGATTCACTGTTTATGTCCTCTTCTCAAAATTCTCGTCAGGTTCAGACATTAATTCCAGAGCTGTTCAAGGCTTGGTAGCGCGGTGGTGCGCATCCGCAGGGTTTAACAACCTGTGGAGACAATCACAGCGGGAGGTGCTCGTTCGACTCAGGCCCACGCCATACACCTTTCACGTTGGATCTTTTTGTGTCCCCAGCTAATGCCCATTGTCAACTTGTCGCAATCTCTCAAGAGTTTATGAAGCACTGGTAGCACGCTGGTGCGAATCTTCTTTATTTCTTCCAGGCTTTGAACCGCAGCAGCCACAGCTCTTTTGAGCCAAGCGTCGCGGATGTTCAAACATTCACCGAGTCTTCCTCCATTATTACCCCTTTACCGAAATTGTTTTAGGCCATCTAAGGCTTGGTAGCGGACTGCTGCACATCTGCATGGTTTAACAAAGTGATGTTGATTTAGAGTCACAGCAGAAGGTGCTCGTTCGACTCAGGTCACAGCCATTAGCTTTGCCTTCGGTCTTTTTTATTTGCATACCTCTCACAATGTCTAGCGCAGAGGACATTCCGTGAAGTATCAGGGATTGGTATCGCGAAGCCGCATGCACCCAACACCAACCAGCTGCGGAAGGTGCTCACTGCTCTATTGACTCAAGAATTTCTCAAGTCAGTCAGGACTGTTTTCAGGTCACAGAAGACTTTGTATCGCGTCGGGCGCATCTGAATTCTTGTCGGAAAGGTGCAAAATCTGCAGAAGGGACTATCTTGTTCTGTCCCGGCTCGATCTTCGCCAACCCCTGAAGAAATACTTGTGAAGCGTGCACTTGCGATTGTGATTGCGATATCCCACACCCTCCCGAACCAACATTATATCAAAATTTGGAATATGTTCGTTGAAACTATATAAATTTTACTGATGTCAGCCGATGAGTATCGAAGCGACGTCTGCGATGGTTCAGTCAATTAGCAGTTGAAGCAGCGATACACAAGAAGATGTCTGAGACTCTCACCTTATTCATACCAAGTGAGGAACAATAGCCCAGCTGCGTTCAATTTTGGCAACAGATCTTGAGACAAGACTGGCGGTTTGTCCTTTTCGGGAATCCACTCCCGTATTTCTACCCTCTTGAGGGCCGGGAAAGGAAGAGTGACCAAGCCGGCGTCAAATTCTTCGCGTCTTCGTATACCGTCGCGCGATAAAACCTCTGGTGCGATGTCTGACTCCAAACGCAATAAGATTTCTTGAATCTTGTTATCGGTTTTGACACCACGAAAGAAGTCGATAGTATAGAACACGTCAGTGAGATACATGCACTGGATTTCGAGGTGCGTCAGAGCGGTGAATTGCCCCAGGGTGGGTAAGCTACTGGGTCTGACATCTAGTATGGGGCGTGAGACGAGACGCGTCCGTAGACAAATGGGTACGCACATGAGTATAAAGCGAGTCGCTTGATGGTCAGCCGTGAACTAAACAGGATACTGTAGAGGTGTTTGTCTTCTTCGTCATCAGATGATGAATCAACATCCACCAAATGCTTTAAATCGAATGGGGATGCGGGGCCCCGAGCCAACCCGCCAGTGAGATAGAATAGTACAAGTGGAAGGTACTGATTTTGGTACGGCGTACGGTTGGCCCGACATACGGAGCCGCTGGAGCGTCATGTATTGTGCAATCGTTGAAGCTAAGTGCATCGAGATTGGGGCTCGAATGGTGACAAAGACGTGAAAGGGCGTCCAGACTATCGAAGTCGCTGAATTCCAATCGGCGAATGGTGTGCAATCCGACCATACTTTGCGTAAGTTTGATTACAGAGTCGTCTATATCGGCAAGCCATCCTCCCAAGAGGCCGATCTCGCGCAATTTTGGAAAGACCACGCCAGATAGCAGGGTGACAATCTCGATATTAAGTCTGAATACGATGCGGTGGATGTAGGACACGAGATGGGGTGAATTTGTTAATGTATCGACCAGGCGGCGGCAGGCGGCGACGTCGTCGTAGTCCTTAGTGTCAATTTCAGAGTCTGTATCATCAGTGCCCGAGGATGGACGCTCAAATTCGATATCGCGAAACAGCAGCGCCTGCGCTGCGGGAGATGCTGAGCGGGAAATGAGGGAACAGGACCTCAGATCCCAAATCCTCCCAGCGAGGTGTCCGATGATAAGATACCAAAGCTCCGGAGCAAAGTATCGACCAGGGAAAACGCCCGTGTCCATGGAGTTATGAGATACTGAGAGCCTAAAAGTTCACGAAAGAAGAAAACAATCAAGTTCCAAGGACATGCCTAGTCTAGCTCAACTCTGAGTCAGGCAACTTGCGCGTCGGCAACTGGGGAAGGTTGAAACGTTGAAGCTGAAGGTCAGATCCAAAAACAGTGCGGAGACGGTGGCAACGCTGAGCAGTGGAGCGCTCAGGGTCGGAGTAGCACACAATACCAAACAGTGCACATCTAAGCCTCTTCTCCCTCGTTCGGAGTCGTTCCTCGTTCTGAACGTCGCGAGTCGCGACTCGTTGTTCCCATTTTACATAATCCGTCCTTATTCTGCGACTTTGAACAGGCTCGCTGGGAGCTAACAATCGCTCACGACGCACGGCGCGTCTGCATCTCATGAAGGACTTTGCCCAAGAACTGGTCGACGAGACTATCGATCATCTGCGGTTCGACATAGCCGCTTTGAAGGCCTGCAGTCTCGTTTGCAGATGTTGGCTACCGCGCACCAGGGTTCACATATTCGCCAATGGCAAGGTCGTACTGCGAAACTGCACCAGCTCCTCGTTCTTTGATATCTTTGAATC